ATCTGACAAAAATAAAAGAAACTAAAAACTAAAATGCACTTTAACCTGTACTAAGAGCTAAAAATTATATGCATATGACTTCAGAATAAGCATATCTCTAAATTATCACTTTAGGTTACAACTCTCTATTAAATCTATTTTGAATCCTAGAATATCTGATTTTAAAGTCTCTGACTATATAATCATTAATTCTAATGACTTTTTTGCTTAACTGAACCCCGATTACGAATAGTTCTAACTCTTATAGTTCTTTATATCAAACATATTCTCCTATATTCCAGATTAATAGGATTGGTCCTTTTCAATTACTGTCTTTGAAAGCTACTTCTTTGGTATATCCTAAACAGAAGGCTACTCGATAGCTATGCCCAATCCAAATATAATATGCACCACTTATGTCTCTTGACCCAGATATCTATTAGAACTTTCTCTTTATACATAATTTGTTTTGTTTTCTAAACGTCATATCAAAATTCGTAACTTTTTAAAAATAGAAGTAGTAAACAATGTCAATCTTTTGGAGGGGGTAAGCCAAATTCCCACTTTTTGTCGATAATTATAAATAAAAAAAACATGCAGAAGAGTATTGTAGTTTTGCAAGTTTCTAACTAGAGAGTGTTGTTTCAAGAGTTCTTCATATTAAAAATAGCTAGTTATAAAATATAAAACTAGATAAAATATATATAAAATATAAACTACTTTAGTAAATTTAGGTTATAAATAAAATTGGTTTAAATTTTAATAATTCTATATAAATTAATATATATACCTATAGTAAATAGCTATATAGGTTTTAATAAATTAATAAAAACCAAAAGCATAGCTTCATCTTAATACTTTATAATAAAACAATATTGATTAGTTGATAAAAAATCCAATAGTAATAAACCTAAACAAAATTACAATATATATTTAATTTGTTATTATATATAGACAAATATATAAAATAATAAAAAAAATCAAAAAGTAAATTTCTAGAAAAACTAGTAAAAAATAAGCTAAAAAACAAGAACAGCAAGACTAAATTCTACTTTAATCAATTAAAGATTAAAAAAAATAAACAAAATAAAAAATATTGAAAAAAATAAAATAAAAATAATTCAAAATGCAGAACAGAAAAAATATTAAAATGAAGTAGATACAAAAATAAAAAAAGTAAAAGATAAACTTCATAATATATTAAATTAAATATAAAGATTATATATTTTGACAAATGAATACCAAACCTTAGCAATAACTAATCAGAAACAAATACAAGACCTTAACTTAATATCAGAACAGCAAGTACAAATACAAATGTAAAATATATAAAAATATAATATTAATCAAAAACAATAAAATAAAAGATAAGAAAGTGAAGTAAGATCATAATGCTTTAATAAGAGTATTTTGTAAGATATTAAAAGAATACAAGAAGAAAAACAACATGAAGCTGCAAAACCAAAAAAAATAGTAATCAATGAAGAAATAAATTTTCTTCTTACAGCTACTATCAAACAAAGTATCGGGTTACCTAACAACAGAATATGTAATAAGAAGGTTTCATTCCTAGCAAATATCCTAGCATACAACTTATCAGGTAGCTCATCAGAAGAAAGACAAACTATGTAAAATGGATACTAGACAAAAATAAGCATATTAAAACAATATGGGAAGTATTCAAAAGAAGAAATTTCTAAGTGGAAGTAGACTTCGACTACTATATTATTTTGAAGTACCGTAAAAGTGCATATACAAGACCCACCGTGAATCAGACCTGGGCTATAATATAGATAAAACTTTTGGTAAAATAAAACAAACCCGGTATATTATAGGAAGCAATGATTAAAATACCCGGGTATAATATTAGAACATAATATATATTACATAAATTCAATAAGTTTTGGATTTCTCCCACATAAAAGCCTCTCCTGATTATCAGATTAATGTCTATACAATAGACACGGGTCTATTAAAGGTTTTAAATTTGGTGGAATGTACCAGATCCGGGACTTGTATATGCACTTCACAAAAGTTTCTGCGGTGATATGTATTAATCAAATTTTCATGAATTATTATCAAGAGCGCGCTATTTCGGTACACACATGGGCATTACCTTAAAACCAATTATACCATTTTAAAGAGCACGATTTTCGAAATAAAAGTTATTTCGAGATCTTACAGTGTAATAAATCATAAAAGAATAATATAATACTTATATTTGAAGCATATATAGTTATTGGATGCGAAGTAACCGATAATACTTTATATTGGGACAGTTTTTTGACTTTAAAGATTAAATTCTTTTTAACTAAACCGAATACCATGAAATATGTTCCGAGATGTTATTTCAAGACACGTAATTAAAAATTAATTCTTAGCTTTCTTGAAATTATGTCTTGGCAGTAAGTATTTAAAATTTAGAATCAATTTTTATATTTAGCTTTTAACTGAATTAAAAATAAAAAAAGGTTTTTTTTGTAAACTTAAAAATTTAGGTATGCAATTGTATGTACGAATCGACTGATTGATAATTTATCACACAAATGTATGCTACTTTTGCCAAGAAGTCTAAATGTATCAAATACCATATCCAGATATCTTTTCCTTTATTAAATAAATTTAAATTTTTTCATTAACGGATCGAGAACCATCATGTTTCGTTGATTTACGACTAGAGGAAACCAAGAAAGTTAATATCTGGTTCATTTTTAATCAACTTGTGTATCCATTTTACTATATTTAAGTTCTATATTGGTTGCTTTTTTTTATATAGATGATTTAATAAGATTTCTATTAATGTCTAATTTAAAAAAAAATAAAAAAAAATGAAAAAAAATAAAATAAAAGAAGGATGAAGTATATACGATACATTCTTATTTCTCTTAACTATTATAGCAATTATTAATTCGGATAAACAGATGACAGATTTAAAATTTGGTGTATATCATATACACATACAGTATATAGACATTTATTAATAGAGCAACCTTGGCTGTGTAAGCATCGTACTTTAATATTTACATTTTACAACATTCTATAAAATAAAATGAGTCGTACCTCCTATAAATTCTTTCGTTCCGTATAACTAAAAAAAAAAAAAAAAAAGGAGATATCCCAAACAATATAGAATATAAGCGATATAGGAATAGATGAGATTTCATTGTCAATGATTGAGAATACCAAATATTATTTACCTATTTACGTATTTTTCGGGAGTTGCCATTTTAAACAGTGGACAATCAAATAGCCTAAAAAATATCATAATAGGTACGTGTGTACGAAGGAGACATAAAATGTTAACCCTTCATTAGCATGCATTTCATTAAACGTTATTTCCTTTTACATATCGAACCAATTTTTTAATTGAAATACTTAGCGTAATGTTGAGGTAATGTAGAGGTAATGTAAACGTATTAACTAATGGAATATTGCTGTATATGTATGAAAAGCAATGGTTTTTTCTTCAAAAGGATTAGTTAAAGATGAGAATGCTAACGGTTGGATTTCTGTCTCGATGATCACATTGATGAAAAATTTATTCCATGAAATACAACTAAACAATAGTAACCCTAACCTAACCTGATTAATTACCCAAAAACCGAAGATTTGACAAGGGTAAGAACACCAATTATTATTATTTGTGTTATTTATAGATTACTGATTTAAAAATTATTTGCTACCTAATTTAAATCAGTTTACAAATTAAGGCTATACATTACTAATTACGTAGAAGTTTGTGTTCGTAATTTTAGGGTGCCTGTAAGTATGAAGTTAATAAATAAAATTTAAGGGTTTTATACGTATCGGGTATGTAATCGTCATGATTAAATTTTGGATCGACTTAGTACGTAAGATTATACATCGATACATCGAAGCTAATGCAATACTCAAGTTATTAAATATTTCCAAAGCGGTACTTATTATTAAATATTTCCAAAATGGTTTTTATTTTGTTTGAAATATTTGCCAAAGATGACTGGATCATAAAAGTTTTTAAAATCTTAAATTTCATTCGGTTTAATCGACCTTTGGTTATAAAAAAAGACGCTTAACCTATTTTTAACTTATTTTTTAATTTGTTTTTAAAAATAGCGTAGAAAATAATGTAGAGGGAGCGGCGCTTATCTGCGACAGTATGATACGTAGTCTCTTAGGTGTTTATTAATATACCTAATAACGAAAATGAAAAAAATTTAGAGCCAACAATTTAAAAATAATCTTTTTCTTACAATAACTAGATACGTAGCATATATATATTACAAACAACCTATATTAATATCGATGTGTACAGTTTGCGTATCAGTTTGGTTCCTTTTTTTTAATAAACTTAATAACCGAAAGTTCACCTGGAAAAAACTTTGTCAAACAAAAATTGTGATCAAGTGTTTTAAGAACTAGGTAGGTACATGTACGTACATATCAGATATGTATGTACATACGTATCCGATTATATAATTCGCTGGTGACTCCGGGATCCAAAAAAAGTGTTGATCCTTGGCCATTGTTGGTATCAATAAAAAAGCACCCTTTTTTCGACATTTCTTCCACCTCTTATTTGATGAGTCTCTCAATTTTTTATTTTCATGCTGTGCATATACTTTAGTTTTTTTTTTTTTTTTTAATGAATTTAGTGTGTTTTTTTTTTTTTTATCGTCAACATCACCTACTTATCTCTTTTTTTGACTAATGAACTAGTGCTGCTTTTTTCTTTTTGCTATATTTATTCACTTACCTCAATTTTGCTTTCCACTATTATTAGCCTAACGACTCTTCGAAACCTTCTCTAATATAATTTTGGAGTATCCCTTTGACTGACAGCTGATAGGCTGCTTCATGTATTATATTTTAAACGATAATTTTCAAATATGTTAATACAGAAAATACCCAAGAAATTTTCTTTATTATTTCAATCCTCGACCACTATACTCTCTATTTTATTTATCATTTCATCATTAATTCAACAAGTAAATCCACATATAATTGCAGATTCAGATGAATCAATTTCGGATATAAATCAAATGTTAATACGTCGCCAACCAAAACATCCCAGGAAACGTCCCACTCAGCAAAAAAATATTTGCGAAGCTGAATGTTGGGCCGCTTTATCCGTGATTGGGATTCTTGTATTATTTTGTTTATCTTGTATTATACATGATTATGTGGTACGAAAACGGAAAAGAAAATTGGATGCCTTAAGGAAGGCCGCCGAATTAGAAAGCGTAAAAATTAATAATATATTTTCTTCGGAAAAATCCAATGATAGAACTGCTAATGATGTCCAGGAGATGTCGAGAGATCAACAAATGAGAAATATTAGAACTGTAATGAAACAAATGAAAGAAAATCAAAAGTTGGAAGCCAAATGGCCTAAAAAAAAAAGAAAACAGAAACTTGCTCTACGGAATCATCATTTGGATCCTATTGCGGAAGAAGAAGGAGAAGAAGAAAGTTTAGAAATAAGTTTTGAAGGCGAAAAAAGTGATACTTTAGTCGATGAATCGAGCGAGGATACCGAAAGTGAGGGTGATCCAAAAACTTCGGAACAAATGTTACCTGAATTTGATAAAGGAAAACAAAAGGAAATTATGGATTAATAAAAAAGTATTTAGTGTTTATTTAATGTGGAATTAATCTATGTATATACCTTTTAATCTATAGATTCTATTCTCAATTTTGTACAAAAAAATAGCAATGTTTTTAATAAATTTAATTATTAAACTATATACTCAATAATACTACGTACTATCGTTAGTAAAATCCAATGACGTATATTTATCGTAATATAATGTATGAAAACAATTATTTCATTGGCAATTCTGTTTGGTGCATATCTATTAGTAATCACGAGTATTTCTTCATTTGCTTTCTATAAACTTGCTTCATTAAGCATCTTGTCCGATACTCGTTTCAGCCCATGAAACGTTTCACTACATTTTGCCAAATTCATTTTGTCGGATCAAACCTATATTGAGTACCATTCTATTACGTATATAGTAATTAAATAAAGTTAATATACATTTAAATCTAATTAACTTAAATCTAATCATTATGATAATAAAAAATACGTATATATTAAAACAATTTTAACGTTCTGACTTATTATAACCTATTGGCTAATTATAGGTTATACCCTATCGTTATGACCTGTTCTGATATAAAGTTACCTAAAATGGCCAACCCTGATTTTAAGATTACGTACGTACAGTACACTCTGCGATTATCTATGGTCTAAAAATATTTTGTTTAAATTAGTATCTAACTCTTTATATATTAGCCTTAAAAAAATAAATAGATCATAAATATTTGAGATAAAAATTTGGCCAGAGTTTAAAATTTTGGAAAAGCCTACCTATGATACTGAAACTGATGCTGGAATTTGGGGTCTTGATTTGAAAATATAAACCCTAATAAAATTCATCTACTTATGCTCTTTTATTATAAACTCACCCTAAATCCTAATCAACTTTAAAATTTCATATTAAACTTCAGTATCATCCCAACATTTAATATATTCTTGAATTAAAGATTGGAAAACCGTTTAACCGTTTAAAAATAATTCCATAGTTCCGGGCAGAATTAGATTGGTCGTGGGTCAGAATTATTTTAATGAATTAAACAATTAACACGGTTAAACGGTTAAATAATTAGAAAAATTCCAATCTCCTGCTTTGAACGAAAATTTTAAATGAGCGCGTGAGTGAAAACTTGAAAATAGATTTAATGATTTACTATGATTGGTTTCCGTGTTTATTATTCCATATTTTTTCCATGAATGTTTCATTTTCATGAATTTATAACCTTAACTCATGGAAATTTTCATCTCCCTAACACAGATATCCGTAAATGTATCATTTTCATGGAATTTTTACGGAGGCCACGGAGTAATAATGGAAATATTCGGATAAAAATTTTTTATAGGGTCTTGTTATTAAAATATAGAATCAGAATTAAAAAAAAGTTAGGATAAATATCGGATTAAAAAAGTTAGGATAAATATCGATACCAGCGAGTCTAATCAGATTTGCTAACATTTGAAATTACGAAATGGTCAGACGACCGGAATTTTAACCGATGGGTCCCTTGTTTTATTAAACTGTGCAGATCCGTCGATATCGATGTGTAAGTAATCGAAGGCGCGGTCACATGGCTTTTCGATTATCATTAAACCTCATTTGACGTATTAGTGTTAGTACTATTAATCAAAGTTTTACTACGCATAAATTGGCCATTTAACTACGCTTTTGATTATTAGCGATGTTATTAAAGGTTAAGAAATTAGAAAGAGGTTTGTTTAAATATCAAGCATACTCTAAAATTTCTACTAACTACTGTCGGCCCTCCCTTAAAATTTGATCCACCATGTCGGTTCCATAAGTAATATCCGATAAATTGTCATTTCTGATATGTTATTTAAGTTTCTGATATCGATATGGTTGATCATAGTCACATGAAGCTCTGACATGTGTGCAGATTTTCTGTTTAACCAATCAGAATGCATTATACTAATTCTGATTGGATAAAAAAAAATTATAAAAATTTTAACCAATAATTTAAATATATTTTTTCACTTAAACAGATTGTATTAGTAATGCCTGTTTATTAAAAAAATTTTTTTTCATAAGAATAAGATTATGACAATAAAATTATAGTTTGATATTTTATGGCTGTTTTACAACATGTAATTCTTTAGAGTGCCTACAGGTAACCCATCACACTAGTAAGGTACAATTAATTAAAATAATATCTTTTTAGAGGCTTATTTGATCTTCACTTTACAATAGAATATTATCAATCTAATGACATCTTATAAGTAGGGATTGAACCTGGGTAGAAATTGTTACTATACGATTACCTAAAATATATAATAACTTATCCAGATAACCCGGGTAATTTCATAATACCCAGGTAGAGATTTTTTCAACAGGTTCAATCTCTACTTATAAGTAAGTGAAAGAAAAAAAAAAACTAGTTAAAAAATAAAACAAATATATAGAATATAATAAAATATATAAGCAAGAAAAGAAAGTGTGATGTTCTATAGAACAGATAGCCAAACTTTGCAAACTTCACATCTTTGATATTAAAAAATTAATGATTACTAATTATTAGTTTTTATTAAGGTTTTTTAAAATCAAATTGAATTAAATATTAGATATATTTAAATTTAATTAAATTGAATAAACCTTTAATTTGAATTTAGTTTGATCAAATCAAATCAAATCAAATCAAATCAAATCAAATTAAATTATATTTAAAAATTTTTAAAAATTTTAAAATTTTGCTATTTTCAAAAAGTTTAATTTATACAAAATTTTATTACATCAGCAAATTTATAGAGGTGAAATATTTTGTTTTAAAAGTTAAAATTTTTATAATATTTCAAAATAATTTGTGAAATATTTAGAAATTTATTTCAAAACAACTCTCCTTGATAATTACTTATACCAAACTTACAGTTAATGAAAACAGAAACTTGGAGAAAAGTAGAAGAGACAACTACAAATAATGGTTTTTATAGAGGTCAAGGTTTTCTTTTTTCTTCTGGACTCCTCTGTATATTCAGCATGCAAGTTAAAAGCATTCCTGTACAAGACAACTGGCGAGAAGATGGTGTTATTATACAGAAAATTTTAATAGAAGCTCTGCTTCTGCTAATTAAGTTAAAGATAGTTGGTCTAAGGAAAACAACAAGCGAGTTTTCAACACACTCTTTACTGAAGTTTAAGGATATCTGCAAACTGAAACCCTCTATCAAAGCCTTACTCTTTGCTCTTTATAAAATTTTCACCAAAAGTGGGAAAAACAATGTACCCTCATCGAAGGATTAACAACAACAATCACTGCTGAAAAAGGAAAGTTATGTACAGGAGTATATGTCTACTTTGGGATGAATAACATTGTATCAGTTACCTCAAGAGTAGAGTAGATGGCATGGGTGCATGGGCATACCCCTAGAGGCATGCCTGGAGGCATGCCCCTAGGGCATACCTTTAAGCTGAAAAGCATATGATTACAGAGAAAATCGTCATAAATATAATTGGTTAATATAAGAAACAAAATTATAGTGGATAACTCGAGTTGGATTATGGCCCATTCAGGTATTCAACCTACAGATCAAGAAAAAGAAAGGGAGAAAGAAAGAGAGTAAAAGAGAAAGAAAGAGAGAGAAAAAAGAAAGAAGGAAAAAAGGGAGAAGAGGTAAAAATAGTATAAAACAGTGTTTTTTTTTTAAATTTTTTTTTTTTTTTCTAAATTAATTGTCGTGGTTGATGCTGGAAACAGCTGAAGCTGGAAATCAGGGACCCTGATTTAAAAATATAAACCCTGCCAAAATCCACTTATACTCTTTCATTATAAAAACTAACCCTAAATCCTAATCTAACCATGAAAAAAAAGCTAAAAAAATGCACCCCAAAAAATTTTAAAAATTTCATAATAAAATATTTAAAATTTCCAGCTTCAGCCGTTTCCAGCTTCAGCCGCAACATTAATTTTTTTTAATTTGTCTTTTTCTTTTTTTTTAACCTACTTTTTAGCCACCTGCAGGTGACCTGTAGTAAAATTTTTTCCATTACCTAGTGTTCACCTGGGTTGAAATTTTCATAATGGGTTAAAACACTAAGCACAATTTATATACTAGAAGCATGCCTTGAGGTATGATAAGAGGGGCATGCCCTAAAATTTTACTATGCCACCTACCCTACTCAAGAAGTTATAGTGTTTATACCAAGATTTACAGAAGCTGGAAAAGTGTAAGTCACTTAACTTTGCTCAGAGACAAGCACTAGCATAAAAATATGTTGCAGGATACTGCACCAAATCTGGTGAGATCACAAGAGAAATTTTAGACTTGGCCTCTACTCAAAAATGGATATTTGATATATCCCAATATAGATAATAAATAACTAGCATAGAGTCTAGACTAGATTATTTAGTAGTCTATATAATTTTTATAATCTGACATGGGTTTAATAGTGCTATCTTTGTTTTCTTTTCTTTTATTTTATTTTCTTTTATATGTTCTTTGGTTTTATTTGTTTAGATAGATTGAATTTGAATGCTGAAGTATCACTCCTTTTTTCTTTGTCCTTTGTTTTGTGTTTATATTTCGTAGAAAAGATGATACTGATATGGCATATTGTACTGACCAATGATCAAAGGATTTATGCCTTTAGGAAGTTAGAGGCTCGGAGGAATTCAAACAGCTACTAGGTGATGTCGCATCTGGGCTTTAGCTAAGTGAATCACTTGCTGCAGTTAAAAGAATTAACTATAGTTAAAATTTTTGTAATTTTTGCTTGATTATCATATTAATAAAACAGTGGCAGGACATGCCAAATAAATAAAAATAAAAAAAAAAGAAATTTATTTTGAAAATTTTGAGTAAAATATATTTTGAAATATTTTGAATTAGATTAATATATTTGAATAAATAAGGCAAATTGTTACTACTTTGCTATAACTTAAATATATATATACTATAATAAACTCTAACTAAAGTTATATACAGTATATTTGTAATAACTCATTATAATTATTTATAGTTAAAGATAATTATAGCATGTTATAGTTTTGTTAAAACAATTTGTTTATT